CTCTCTCTCGGTCGCGGAATAGTTTCTTTGTGTTTGATTTAAAGTTCGGCTAAAAAATGCCACGGGCTGCTGATTTTGCGAAAGTACCGCTCCTACCGCATAATCCGAAGCATCCGCTGAAATTTCTAAATTCTCATCCTTTTCAGGAAATTTCAACACAGGGGCTTGCGTTAATGCTTGTTTTAATTTTTCGAAAGCACTATTGGCTTCGGCCGTCCACGAGAATCTTGCCTTTTTCCTTTTTAATTTTAACAATGGTTCAGCAATAGCTGCAAAATCTTTTATAAAGGACCTATAATATGAACAAAGTCCTAGAAAAGAAGAGAGCTTCTTTGCCGTGTTTGGAGTCGGATACTTTTGTACAGCGATTATTTTTGATTCGTCTGTCTCGATTCCTTTCTGAGATATTTTGTAACCTAAATATTTTAATTCAGGGGCTGCAAATTTGCACTTTTCGACATTAACTTTTAGACCGGCCTCATTTAATAAAGAAAACACCTGTCTTAAATCCTGTACATGTTGGTCGAGATTATCACTAGTAATAATGATATCGTCTAAATAGATAAATGTGGACTTTCCAAGAACAGGTCTTAACACAATGTCCATACATCGCTGAAATGTTGCCGGTGCCCCTGAAAGGCCAAACGGCATACGCAAAAATGCATAAGTGCCAGACTTGGTTATAAAAGCAGTCTTAGGCACGTCCTCAGGCCTAACCCCTATTTGAAAATAACCAGTCGTTAAGTCTAAAGTCGTCATATATTTGGTGGATGTTATGTTCCTTAGAATTTCTTCAATAATAGGTAACGGATATACCGGATATTTAGTTATGGAGTTTAATTTACGGTAGTCAATCTCCACCTTTTTGGATGTGTCAAAGGATAGTCATTATTTTTCTTACATAAAACCACCGGGCTAGCATAACTACTTGAGATGGGCGTTATGATCTTTTTACGTAGCATATCGGTGATATGCCATTCTATAATTTTTTCCTTATTCTTATCATACCGGTATGCTTTGTGGCGAACTGGCATTGAATCTCCGGTGTCAATACTATGGTTAGTAACCTGAGTAAATCCTGGAATATCACTAAATAACGAAGCAAATTCACTTACCACTTGTCGGATTCTTCCTTGCTCGTCATTAGGCAGGTGGTCAAGTTTTAACATCGGCGGTTCAGCCTTTTCTGCACGAACTGGTTTCATTGTCAGCTTAAGGGACGCTTCATTAAAATCCAGCGTTGCTTGTGCCTCTGAAAGAAAATCTATTCCTAAGATAATATGTGCTTGCAGATTCTTTACTATAAAAAACATAACCTTTACTTGTTCGTCCTTGATACGGATATATAGCGGTAATTTACCTATACACTTACATTTTTCTCCTTGCGCCGCTAACACTGTCGTATTATCCGAATTATATATGCGGTATTTACGAAAATACTTCCTAAAAAAATCTTCTGCCACACAGGAACACTGCGCGCCTGTATCCAGGAGTGCGGTGGCTGGGATATTATTCACCAACACTTCAATCTTCGGAAGAGTCAAATTTTTCACCATTACTGTATTTAACTTGAAGGAAGAGGGGTTTTCGTGGCCTTCGGATTTCCGCACCCTCCCGTCAGCAGAAATCCGTTTTAGTTTAAATTATTTTTCATTTCCGTGCTTTCCTTCTTTTTCCACTGGCCTTGAGACTTTTTTCCTGGATTGCTATTGAACTGTCGACGTTCGCCGGCTGTTTTTGAATGCTCGGGTTTCCTTGCCCACTGATTCGCTTTGCTTCCGTAGCCGTGTGCTTGAGTTTGCTGTAGTCTTGGCGCACCAAATTGGTTTCGCTGTTGATATTGGCGTCTTCTTTCAATGTCCGCCGTTCTTCTACTTTCAAACTGGATTGCTAGCTCAAATAACTTTTCCAGTGTAGTCGGATTTCTTAATTCAATAAAGTCTTGCACTTGGGGCAGTAACCTCGGCAAAATCACTTGAATTATCTCAGGATCCGGACGGTTTCCATACAAGAGTTTGAAGACGTGAATTTTTCTTAAAATAAAGCTTGAGAGATTTTCGATTCTTTGCTGATATATACTGAAAAGTTCCGTTTCTAATTTCGCACGATCCCTTACAACAGGGAAGGCTTTTACTAGGGCAGTCTTGAAATTTTCGTAAGTATAGGTGGGACTTCCTGCTTGACCCAAGAGACTTCTGCCTATACATTTGAACCAGTTAAGCGCTTGGCCCCTCAAAGCGCTGGTAGCTAAGGTAACTTTTTGAAATTCGTGCACGGGGTAGAGCATGAAGTGGTCATCCAATTTTTCCAAAAAACTGGTTACCGGTGAGTTTCCATTAAATGTTGCTTCTGGTTTCATCGAAGCGCGCATGGTCTGGACGATGTAACCAAATCCTTCCAGGGCGGCAGCTGGCATTTCTGGATTCTGAGCCGCTTCTGCAGGCAGCACAGGTTCTTCTTGAAACTCGGCCATGGTTATTCTTCTTCGTTGGGCGCCACTATCAGGTTCAATGTTCCGTCTTACTTTCTTCGGGAACATGCAAGGACCTGACTCGGAACAGAGAGCTTACTAAAGCTATGTTCAATAACTGTGGGAAGTAGACAGGATACACAAGAAGGGTATACAAAACCCTTTATTTTTCTCTCTTTACAATAATTTCCGTACTTCGGAATACAAAGACCCACTACTTGTGGTCTAAACGTAAAATATAAAAATAAAACTAAACTCTAACTTAACTTTGGAATAATAAACGTGGAAGATTGGCCTTATATTAACAGGAAGCCGTATGTAGTACAGAGAACTGTTGAACACTACAATACGTTTAAAATTATCAAGAGGATTAAAACCTCTGGCCTGGAAGGCAACCAGCAACTGAGTAAAACTTCTAAGGTAAGCGGCCTGCTTCGACTAACTGCTTCCTCTCTCTCTCGCTTGGCAAAAAGCCACAACTTAAATACTTGGCGTTCGCCAGACAAACTTTGCATAAAAACCTTAACGCTTATAATTCTGGCCGGAAGTAGAAAATAAGAAGTGATAGTAAACATTTAAAATAAAATAAACGTTAGTAAAACTTAAGATCCTTACATAGCTTCACAACACATACATAAATGATGTTGTTGAAAGCAAGAATATGAGATTTAAAATAAAAGATTATTATCTTAATTGAACTGTTTAGTGACCAAAAGGGCATTTTAAAGCATCTTTAATCCAAAAGCTATTGTTTTATTCCAATATTATTGCCAATCCTAGTTAATTCTCTTGCATCCTTTTGCAGATGATTATTATGAGAAATAGCTTCGACAGTAAATTAGTTACCCCCGTTTACTGTCTGCCGGAGAGTCTCTGCGTTTAGTTTTCAATTAAAAGAGGGAATATACTTTTGCTTAGGAGCAATCATTTAAAAAAATGCACACATAAATAAAATAACGTGCATTACAATCCCATTTCTTTATCATGCATCGAGCTGGGAACGTAATTACAAAATTTTATTGCTCTTATTCCCCTAGAAAAGGGTTTGATTGGGACATGCAACGGGTTACTAGTTGGAGCATATTACGGAAAAAAAACGTCTGGCCTTAACTACTTATCATTTCAAGCTACTAACCGGCACTGTTCTTGTCTTTGGTGAGTTACTACTTAGACAAACACTTAGATCAAATCAATAAAATGAGCACAGGGAAATGCAAAATAACAACTTTAGTTTATTTGACCACAGGTTAGCTTACACAAAGTAATGCAAATTAGAGTACTGGTAATATATAGACTATTAAAGAATAGATAAATTAACTATTTTCAATACAAACACTTTGTATTTCAAATTTTTTAGAGTAATTTTCCTCTATGCTTTTATCGAAAAATTTCCTCAATAGGTAAACTAAGCATTTTCATTTACTACAAAATTAGCTGTGTAGAGTCATTAGTGTTTTTGAAGCAGGAGATGTGAAAAATGTGCAATGACCTCACCGGGATTCGAGCATGAATACTCGCCGAATATGCTACCGTTACACCATGAAGGCATTTCGCAAGGAGGGAGAATATTTGAAGAGCTATAACTCTTCAAATACAAGTCCTCCGGAACAATTGATCTAAATTAAGTTGAGGTCGAAAAGTTAAGCTCCAAAATTTAATCGTTGCAGTTTACAACCTACAACAACAGCAACTGAACAGCAGCGTAATTTTACCTTTTTTTTTTTTTTTTTTTTTTTTTTTTTTTGTTAAGTTAATAATGTGTATATTTCTGGAAAAGGAAGGACTTGAAAGAGAAAAATCTACAGAAAATTAGCATTGGCTTCTTCTAGGATGGCAATGGTGGGTGAAGAAACTGGCGAGAAGCTTGTTGATGTTCTGTGAACTATTCCGATGCAGTTATGGCTAGTTGAACAGCAAATATTCATTTTCTTCCACATAGATGATCAACATTGATAGATAGACCTGATCTGTAACATTGTTTGAATAATCAATGGCGAACACTTTATTTTCCAGCAGCAGCATTTATTCTGCTTTAGGCTAGCATAATATCCCTAGAGAATATTATGACTTTATAAACTTTGAATTGTCTTATCGAAACAAACTCCATGCATAGCTTTGTGGATCTGTCTTCAGTTCCTCTGTTTATAGTCTGAATAAGAAATAAAGCGTAAATTTTCCAATATTTCATATTTTTTACACACTTAATTGGTTTAATTTTTATTTATATTCTTCACTGCCGAACGAGTGCACACTTGTCTAACAATATGAAATTCGTCCAGTCTTCAAATGATCAGTCACGACGTTTTTCATTTTTTACAATTATTTTTTTCACAGAAATAAGAGGCTTTGGTATTAGAGGTTTTAATATAAATCTGTTTGTAAAGATTAAAATTTTAATTATTGATAAAATTATTTAATCTTAAATTCATTTATTCTATTAAAATTATAGTTTTCGTTGTGGGAGCTTTGTTAATATTCCTACCAACAGAAAATGCTATAAATAAATAAATCATGAGTGAAAATAACTTACCCGAAAAGTATGCATGTTACTCCTACTGTTAATATTCCCGAGTTTAAAAGAAATTTCGGTGATATGTAAGATACCTGAAACGGGAATAGCAGAAACACTTTTAATGGCAAAACACCTACTTACATTTCAAAAATCATTTCCAAATTCACAAATGGTACTTTGATTAATTAAAACATATAAGAAATTCCAGTCTGTTTATTAGTAGTCAGTACTTCATTTAGCCTACAAATATTCAATAGAATTTATTTAGCTAGTAAAATGTTATGTAAAAAACTTTTCCTCAGTTTATTCAATAACTTGTCTTTTAGTTGCTTAGACGTTTAGCATATAGATTCGGAAAGAACGGCACAAACAGATTAAATTATTGCTGAGGAAAATGCAAACAAACATTAAAGTTACTGATTTTTCAGTAAATCGACCATGACAACATGCGTATTATCCCCAGACACCTTTAGCCATCATAACTGAATTTGTCGGAACTATTTAAATTATGGCAAAGCATACGAGAGGTTTGGTTAAGTTTGATAGAATATGGCAAAGCATACTAGGGCTAATTACCTAAGGGTAGAGATGCGTTCGTGGAGGACTTTCTAAGAGAAATTGCCTCGAATACACGTTATACATGGTGAAAATGCCCTTGCAGCCGATCCGTTCGCCTGGAATAGAACCTACGTCGGAACTACTGCTGTTCAGCAATTTAACCCCTCGCCCGCTGGTGGGCAAAGCAAACGAGAGATATCTACCTAAGGACAGAGGTGCCTTCGTGGAGGAATTTTTAAGGAAAACTGGCTTATATTTGCATTACGCATTTAGCTAAAATAATTAACTCCGTGAATTCACAGCAGCTTCTCAAAAGAGTTTATTCCCGTACTATTACATTTTCATATCTCATCACCATTAGGTATTAGATTGCAATGAAATTTTGTGAAATTTCTGATTTAAATTTTATTAACCAATTTGATTTAGGTTAATTACTTTCCATTGTGCCCTTTCTCGTCGCATTGCTTGCTCAAACTAGAGATTTTTCCAAATTGCATGGCAAAGGTAATCCTAACCAGCGTCTCAGTAGGACTCTTTCCGTTGCATCTGCCACTTACTGTTAGTTGTCACTCTCAGAGCCAAAGGCAACGTTAACCGCATTCTGTAACTCTTAGAGTTCGCTTTTCCGCCCCAAACAAACAAGAAATATTTTTTAATTAATTTTTAATTATATTTTCAATATAGTTAAATATATATATTTATATATGTAAAATAAAAATATGTGAATCAAAATTATAATTTAAACTAACGGTAAAATATTAATTCTCCCTCTCTATTCTAAAAATCGCAATAACTTCTCTGGATTGTTTCATTTCTAGATCATTCTATGGCCTGTTCAGCTCTGATGACGTAATAATTGGGAACTGAAACTACCATTGTAAACCAAAACTTTTCTCTTCGCGTGCTTCCATCTTTCATAACTAAGCACTCTAGCTTCTGCCTGTGCTGTGCTTAAACGCAATTTCGCTATGCTGCTTCCTATTGCAATAATATCAAAAATGTAAATGTTCTTGAACAGGCACGACTAGGGTGCCAAGTGATTTGTGGCCGCATAATGTCATTTGAAAATAAAAATGGAATTAAAATCGCCTCGACTGCCAAGTTTTCTTTACGAAGTCAACATATTAGTTTACAACGCAATCAGAATACTTCCTCTTCAATATAGGATAACTACGCATCAACAGTGTTCCGTCTTTTTACTTTCCTTGCTCTATTATGACATATATAACTGTAGCTTAGCTGCCAGTTGCTGTACTTTCTAGTGGATAAGAAGTCGTAATATTTATTTTATTACTACTTTTAGCTGTAATAACACAAGTAGGGGATAATGTGTATGGTGTGTTGTTGTGACTTATGTCACTTGTCTGACAGTAACATGAGAACAAGCTCACGAAATTCATCATGGCAAGGAGTGCAAGATCGCGACTGTCATTGGCAAGAGTCTTGAGCACCATACAGGTGACAGCACGACTTCTCTCAGTTCCGCCAATTTTAATGGAGATTTAATTCCCGGGGGAACGGGACCGAGGGTCTCTCCCCCCTTTTACCCTACCACCAACTTCTCTAGAGGATTTTCGGCTTGCCGCATAATTAGAGTGCCACCATGACGCACGGATACTATACATTTAAAAACATCCATGCCTTCTCCGGGAAACCCGGGCCCTTCGGTACCGCAGTAGGCTCCTCTAACCACTATACCGTCTGGGCGGCTAGTAGGGGATAATAAAATAATGTATTATATTTTTTATCTTGTGTTTCATGCTACAGGTGATAACCAACCATTAGAGTTGGCTTCTTAAGGTCAGCCGTTAGAGTTAATAGCAAGCAATTTAGCTAGTTAAACACCTTTAGAGGATACAAATTTCTGAAAAATTAAATTACGATATACTTTAAGCTTAGAACACGAATCGGTGATGTAAATGTAGAACGCCTACGCATGAGAGATAGGATTCGGTATATACTAATTATAGTGTTGTGATGATTAAAAGCAACACATTGTGAAAATACAACGCCATAGCTATGGAAATCCGTGTTCGATATTAACTGCATGAATATTTAACTTATGTGAGAGTGAAGGATGAGCTTGGGCAGTAACATGGCAACGATATTACAGGGCCGAGTACATACTCTGATAACTTCAAAAAATGTGAAGCGGATGTTAATCTCTCTGATTTTCTCTGAAGATCTAGTGACGTTGGTTGAGGGTTTGAAGAACGTGTTAGTGATAAATTGGATGTATCCCGTAGTTTGTAAAATTACAAGCACTTTTCCACTCCTGTACTTATTTCTCCAATCGTACCCTACTTCTCTTTCATGTTTTTGTGTCTTTGTCGAGCTTCTTGATTAAAATGGACTTTGATAATGACGAGAAACTGAACTTTAGATGGCCGGACATCTGTAGTCATGGGATATTTAAACTTACGAAAGGAAAGGCCATGGTTATATCTCTGATGGTGACTGAGTGAGGAAGTTAAGTTATAGTGTTTTTCAAAAGGCTTTTAGTTTTATGACTGATGCTTATTTTCTCTGATTTTTTTCTCATAAACAAAATCATTTCATTTGCTATTGGAGAGCCCATAAAAATCAGCATCCGAAAGATTATCAAATCCAAAATTTCTCAGAATTTCATTCGTATGATTTGGGCCCATACATTCATATTAGTGTTTCTTACCTTTGATAATATTCATATTTGGAGTTTTTTTATGCTACTCCGGATTTTAATATTATTCCAGGACACATAAAGAAATGGCATAACCTAACGAAATTTAGAATTACGTAGGATCAGTACTACTTAAAAGATAATAAAGAGCTAGATAAATGCAAGGGCTGAAGATTTAATTATGATCACAGCAATTTCAGAGAAAAAACGGGAATTTATGGGATCTTGAAAATACTGGCACACCCCTTCTATACAACTCGAATCTTCCTTCTACCCATCGTCATCACCTGTCTTGCGTTGCACCTTAATGGCTTAATGTTGCAGAAGTTTAAGCACACCTAAAAGTCAGAGAGACAAATTTTTTCGAAGTTAGAACTGTGTTTCTGCCTTGAAATTGAAGAGGCCTTGGATTGTACCTCAAAGAATTCCGTGAATCTGATTGCATTGCGGTACAATACAGTAACACATCCACAATCCAAGCGATGAACGCTTCCACAGTCCATGAGTAGTCCAAGCGAATTCATGTGCGCTCCAGCGGGCTCCTGAGCCTGGGCGATCAGTCGTAACTGATTACATGTCTGATATGTATCAGATTACCCTGGACAGCTCCTCAATTCACATGTAAAACCGGTCTCAGCCATGCGACAATCCTTTATATTCTGAAGGTACTCAGAATTACGGCAGGCTGATCTTCTTACTCATTGACAGATACTAATTCAGAAGTCAAACAACAAAAATCAGCGTTATATTTACAAAATTTTCACAGGACTAGTTTCGATGGGTTTACCGAACCACCATCCTCAGCTGCAAAATCGCAAATGAACAAGATAGGAAATAATGATTAGATAAGATAAGAAAGCCTGGACAAGAATAAGCAAGTGGCGCCATCTGTTGGTGAAACCAGAACTAAAACATAATTTCTTTAAAGGCCGAAGGCAAATTTGGATTAGAATTAGGATCGTTAATTAGAACAGAAGATTTTTTATGAATGTGAAATGCCTCTAGAAAATCCAGTTCTCCAATGGAAGATGTTTTTTGAATAATTTTGGCAGCAGAAAAACTGAAAGTGTGGTTTTCGGACCAAAATGTTGAGCAACAGAAGACTTCTGTGTTTCCTTTTTTCTAACATATGCCTCATGTTCCTTGACGCGAAATTTTAAGGCTCTCTTAGTTTGGCCAATGTAAATTAAACCACACTGGCAAGGAATCCTATAAATAACCCAGGAATTCATATCCGGAATGGGGTCCTTGAGTATGGAACTCGGAATTTTATTGATGGGAGAATAAAAAACCCGAAAGTTAAATTTCTGCAAAATACAGGGGTTGGACAAAAATATGGAAACACCTTTAAAAAAACATGTTTCTTTTCTTAATATGGTGTAGGAAACCCGTTGGCATCCAAAACAGCTTGCAGTCTTCTCGGAATGGATAAATACTGTATGTATGAGTTCCTGTATGTTTGCCAAGGGAATATTATACCATTCTTCCTGCAAAACGGTGGCAAGTCAGATAACGATGTTGGCGGTGGATAACGAGAACGCACTTTCCGTTCCAATGTAGACCACAAAGGTTCGATAATATTCAGGTCTGGTGACTGTGGTGGCCAGGGGAGATGGGACAACTCATCCTCGTGCTCAGAAAACCAATCCTGGACAATGTGAGCTGTGTGAACAGGGGCTTTGTCGTCTTGGAAGACACCATCACCATCGGGGAACAAAGTTTGTACCATGGGATGAACTGCCCAAACCATAACAGAACCCCCGCCATGTTTCACTCTTGGCAACAAGCAGTCTGTATTATAAGCTTGAGATGGCGTTCTCCAGACGTAAACTCGGCCAGAAGTGGGAAATAATGTGAAAGAAGGCTCGTCAGACC